CAGCACTTTACATGTCTTATAATCACATGAGAAAAAACCCCACCAGCACTTTACATGTCTTATAATCACATGAGAGCTGGTCTTCAAGCAACTGCCAACATGTTAAGCAATCTTATGTAATTAATAGTTTCCAAACACTATATGAGTCTTGTCCCACAATCTTTCAGCAGTCAGAATTATCTGAATAACTTTTATTGGATATTATACATGTTGATGAATCACTAGTTCAAAACAAAATAAGAAGAGAATTTAATAATCTCTCAGCCTCAGAAAACACAGGTTAATTGGAGTACTCATGGTAGGATATTCTGAGCCAGATGTAGTTGTCTACACCTTTAACCTCAGCACTAGGAAGAGGCAAGCGTTCTCTGTGAGTTCAAAGCCAGTCTGGCCTGCATAAGGCAATCAGAGCTAACAAGTGAGACCCTGTCAAAAAACAGAGTAGTACATCCTGGTTAAGTGGAAAGCCTCCTTGTATTAAGGTTCTCTGAATTCTTGCTGTAAGAATCGTCTCTTCAACTTGATTCCAGTATCGTTATTGTGTTACCATTCTGAATTGTACTTAATGAGTGCAGTCTAGAAATGTCAGGGATTCAAGCTTTATCTCCTGGGTGATGACCCTATGACATTTCATGGATATAACAATGCTCCTAAAATTAGGTAATAAAAGGCTGGCTAGCAGGGTACCAATAAATTGGAATTTTAAACCATACAACAGTAGTGACTCTCTCTTGCTTTTTTGAAACAGGGTCTCATATAGTACAGGCTGACTTTAATTTTGCTTTATTACCAAGAATGATCTTTAAGTCCTGGTTCTCGGGCCTCCACCTCTCAAGTGATGGCATTACTAGCATTTACCTCCATGCCCGCGAGGAATTCTTATCAACAGTGGATGTTCAGGCTTGTGATCTCACATTTATATGGGCACAACTACTTTTTTAAAAAATCACTTTTTTCAATTTTGAGATTTAAGAACTTGTTAACCAAAATTCATCCAGAACAATTCTTTAGACTATATTAAAGACAAAAGTCAAATCAAAGATAAACAAGATACAAAAGAAGCCTAAAGGCATATAAAATAAACTACTATATTACGGTAATGTCAAATCATATATAAAACATATATCAAAAAGTTGAAGGTTACATTCTATACTTGGGTTCATGATAAAAATTTTAAGTTCTGTTACCAACTATCTTCAACATCAACAACTATCATTTTATAGACCGTGTGGCAAAGGCAGACCTAAGCCTGTATGTGTACTCTAACCTCATTTAAGCCAACAGCACTTCTATAAAGAAAACAGTGTCTGTACTTCACAAAAGAAGAAACTGAGGTTCACAATGTCTGTGTAAGTAATACTAAGAACCATCCATAGTGAACTCACGAATATATGACTTCAAGGTCTATAATACTCTACAGGAGTGGTTCTCAACGTTCCTAATGCTGTAGCCCTTAAATACAGTTCCTCATGTTGTGGTGACCCCAACCATAAAATTCTTCCATTGCTACTTAATAACACTGTTCTTTTGCTACTGTCATGCATCATAATGTAAACATCTGATACGTAGGATATCTGGTGTGTGACCCCATGGAGGTCGCAACCCACAGGTCGAGAACCACTGCTCTACACTACTACTGCTTCTCACAGAATTCTCCTTGCAGATTCCAAATATGAAAAATGATCTACCAGCTAAAATTTATTTGCAACCTGGAAGCCAACACTCAGAATTTTTGCAGATATTCATGGGTGTGTGCAAAGCAGTGAAAATCTGAGCTGCCTCCCAACAAGCACTCACAGGAGAGAAGAACAAGGTTGGCTTCCTTCCCGCAGCTGACACTGGAAACAAGGCCTTTAGTGTCATCTACTAAGGACTGGCTTATTGAATTTGTGTGCTTTTTCTGGTGATTTTTCTATTTTCAGTGGCCCCAAATTCAGGCAGAATGTGGAGTGTGCCATTGTTACTAAGCATGAGAAGGCCACAGTAAGTCTTCTGAAGAAAATGCATGTGAGAGAAGCTTTGCAGGCTTTGGTGATGGTGCTATTACCCATAAGCTAATCAACTACACACAGTAAATAGCTTTAAACACAAACACACACAACATTGTTCAGTTAGCTGATGGAACATGAGGACCTAAGAGCCACACAGAACCCAAACCTGACTTTGCTATACGAGCAATGGCTTCCGATTCCCTAAATAAGTACAGTGACTTCACTGAACACGTCTGTGAGGAATAAGGAGAAGAACTGAGATCGCCTCATACTTTAGTTATTTCCCACTGCCATTTCCTCCACATGCATTCTATCATTGTATGCATGTAGGTGTTCTATCATTGTATGCATGTAGGTACTACTGTATGCATGTAGGTATTCTATCATTGTATGCATGTAGGTGTTCTATCATTGTATGCATGTAGGTACTACAGTATGCATGTAGGTGTTCTATCATTGTATGCATAGAGATGTTCTAGCATTGTATGCATGTAGGTACTACTGTATGCATGTAGGTGTTCTATCATTGTAAGCACGTAAGTGTTCTATCATTGTATGCATGGAGGTGTTCTATCGTTGTGTGCATGTAGGTACTATTGTATGCATGTAGGTGTTCTATCATTGTATGCATGTAGGTACTACTGTATGCATGTAGGTGTTCTATCATTGTATGCATGTAGGTGCTATTGTATGTATGTAGGTGTCACCTGCCCACTGAAAATCCTCTGCTGCCACGCTGCTTAATGGGCTACAGCCTCACATGTTGCCATTTGCTCCTAACAATAATCTTTCTTATATACACTTTGGCTTTCCAGTGTGAATCTATGCTAATTGAAATGAACTTCTTACTACAAGAAATAAAGGACACCCCTTAGTGACTGTCTTAGCTGGTTAAATTTTTTTAAGGTAGCAAGCTACGTATATTATTACCAAAAATATATAGAGAAGTAGAAAACTATCAGCACAAACTGAGAATCTTACCTTTCTTGCTCAAGTCAGAGATTTTTATTGATTAAAAAAAATTACAGTACATAAAGATCTAAACAAGGACAATTCAGGGTTGAGAGAAAAAACCTTCAGGAGTCCTCTGTTTTCAGTAAAATTCTGAATACACCTTGTAGACCTGGAAAACAGTCCATGGCCTAATGCACTCGCTCCATGTTAAACACACATATATAGAAATCTCCATGAAGTGAGGTCTAATCAACTCTACAATTTAGACGGAAAAGCAGCTTTGAGGATGGCACAGCCATGTATCATCAGCACCATGAAGCCAGTCTATCAGTTGTAATAGCTCCTATAAAATACCACAGTGAGACTTCAATAAGCCTAGAAAATGGGCTACAAATCCCAGCAATGCTCAAGCAAGCAGTGGACCAAAAATAAAAATAGGTAAAACTGAGCCAAGAATTAGATAGCATTCATCTAGATTCATGATTGGTGAGGCAAAGTTCACAGGCTGAGGCATTAAGGTGACTTATTCAGATCTAAAGGACAGTCATCATACAAAACAAAAGCATTCTGGAATTCGAAAAACATGAATTTTTGCTCTTAGTATAAAAATCCTTAATATAATTATGAAGCACATCATTGCACTTTTAAATATAGGACAGTCAGGAGGGTCAACTTGCACTGTGTCATCTTTAATATATCCAGAGAGGTTGTCATACATTCCTACTCTGTTTATTTTTAAATCTTTCAGACCACAATAATTTTAGCTAAATGTAATGTCAACTTTAAGTTTCCTTTCCATTATATTTAATTTAGTCATTAAATGCTGAGCTGACAATTAAACCATACAATAGGAAAACATTAAATCACCAAGACCTTATCAATTATAGGAATTTGAGAAAAATCTTAATCAAATTAAAGTAACTATTTTAAAGAACTCAAGTGACTTGAATTAGCATAATGTAAGAATTATGCTGTCAATGGAAATATTATATTTCCCTCCTGCTTGATGAAAATGAGCTTCCGCACGTATTTCTAAAACTCAGGGGCTGCCATTCAAGGATGAACCAGCATCTCACTTTAGATGTGGCAGTGAGGTTCAGCCATGCAGGATTGTTAAAACGCCAGGTTCATGTGATCTCATCAAGTTCTGAGCCAGTGAGGCAGCTGTGACTAGTTCAGGGCTCAGACACACACCACTGAAAAAATGACAGCAGGTGACCCCTTAATGGGGACTGGTTTGTTATCACTGTGCTGATTTAGAGGTAGGATGAAAATTATAGCATAAAATACAACAGGCTTGTAATATACAACAACTATCCAAGTAGGAAGTCAACTGAACAAAGATAAACTTGAGTTAAAGACTATCAACCTCACCTACTTACATCAGCCCTTATTAAAGAAATTACCCTGAGTAAAACACAAGTATTTTAGATATTGCTGGTATAGAAGCCTTTTTGTAAAATGAATCATAAATGGCAATACATCATTTTTTATTTACACGTCAGATATAAAAACTGAACCTTAACCAGTCATAGAAATATTAAGGAATACTTGGGTTAAATATAGTTTCCAATTTTCTTTTGTTAGCATTTGGCAAAGCAAGCAATACATAAATAGATCCAATGTTAAAAACCATAAGAGAGAAAAATATATAAAATATACAGTAGTTTGTATCAACCCTGGGTCAGCCTACATCTCAGGGAAGCCTCCCCAATCAGATTCATTTCTGGCTAAAGGAAAGAACACCAGTCCTGCAGCAAAACAGCCCAGGTCTGCATCAAAGGCTCGCCCTTCAGTGTATTCCTCCAGGGAAGAGGACAGGAGCCAGGTTCCCTCGAGTGCCATTCCCCAGGTGTTCAAAACGTAACTAATTTATTAGCAATAGAAGATTTGATTTATAGGGAAATCTCACTGGTCCAGTTTGTAGCCTACAAAAAAATGGATTATTTTTAAGTATAACATTAGAATATAAATAAAGGGTGAGGATGTGACTTTTTATTCCACAGAAATGGAAACATTTCCAAACATGACAATTCAATAAGAAAGCATGCCTACCATTGAAGGTGGAGTCCCTCCAGATTTTTTCATATTCTTGGAAGGCATTCCATGAAGGCAACTGAGTCTAGCTTGAAAACCTGGGAAATGAAACAGGCAATTTAGAAGATCCTGTGATCACTAAAGCATAGAAGAAGATCCTATCCACAGAGAATTCAACTAAGTTGCTGATAGTGGTAGCACCAAGAATATTACTGGGGAAAATGTGACACACACTTAAAAGAACTAAGGTGATTCCCAGCAGGGCTCTAATGCAGTCAGTACTTAACTAGCCAGTACTCAGAGGGTAAGTACTCTCTTTCCCCCAGTTCACACTCCTATTAACACCTTCCTGATGAATCAAAGTGGATGAGTACAGTACTTGGATTAGGGTCCAGCACATTTCTCTACAGCATTCTGTGTTTATATTCTGTTTCCACTTTAATCTACCCTTTCGGTGAAGACCCCAGTAAGAACCGTAAGCAGACGCGAGCCAGCACTTAGGAAATACTACTGACCTCTTCTGCCAGGATGTGACATGAGGGGGAAAGACCCACTTAGGATCCTTTCAAACACGGGGTCAGGTAAGTTTCTGTCTAGCTCTGAGGGATCCTCCTCTTCCCACCAGGGCACAACTCCAGCAATGCCGCAGGCTCCACCTGACTCCTTTTCATAGAACCAGTCACTCTGCTCATCATCACCTGTGCAAAGACAACGTCCCCAAAAGATTTAGTCTTACCATGGAAACAGATAAAGAACAACATTTACTCACTAATATTGACAATGGAGTACCAGGGTATTATAACTGACCATCTAAAATGCACTTAACCTCAGTGAGTATCAATGTTCTGTCCTGAGATTTAAACAGATAAAAAAGATTAAAAGTACGAAATGTAGTCAACTTATAAAAATAAGTGAAAGGCAGGAAACCCTGACTGCTCTTAGGACTGGAGAGGGAGGAGGAGAGGGAGTGGGGGGAATGGGAGGATATGGGGAGGAGGGGAGGAAGTGGAAATTTTTATAAACAAATAAATAAAGTAATTTAAAAAAATTTAAAATGAGTCACTAAATCTTCCTAGGATAAAAAGAAGCCACCAGTACTGGCAGGATTCCATAAGAGTTTGCATAAGTGACCATCATTTCCTTTTTATGATACTTCTGATTTGAGGCCTCTTACTTTAAATTTTAAAATGGAAATTGGGCTGGAGAGATGGCTCAGCCATTAAAGGCTAGGCTCACAACCAAAAATATAAAATTGCAATCATGAAACAAAAACAATGCCAAAAAAAGCAGCAAAACATAAGCAGAGAATGGTATATGACAAACAGGCTTAGTTCATATAAACAGTGAAAATTAAAAGCAATTGTAAAATGAGAACCACAGACTGTTTGAATTAGGGAATAAAAAATATTTTGTTAAAATCTACAGAACTTAAACACTGACATTTCATAGAAGAGACAGAATTAAATGGTGCAGATCAGGTCTATGAAAGTTAAGCAGGACTCACTTGAGACTGAGCATCTTACATCTAAATTACCATAACACTATGCCCACTGCTTTACTTAGGAGGCTAAGACACAGTTCAGGAATGCAAGACCAGCTTGTGCTATATAAATACAGAACCTGACTAGAAAGAAAAACAAAACAAACAAATAAAAAAAACACTCTAGAAAAATAAAGACTTTTGACTTTACTTTTATGTGATATGCCACATTATTCTTAGAAAGTAAATTAAATAGTCATCAAAATCTTGGGCATACAACCAGGTAGGGGAATGAAAAACCCATTGACTTGTAGCATTGAGATAGTCATTTCAACTGCATTAATTCTCCCACTTAAAAAAAAAAAAGATTGGGAACACACATAGTTCTTAAAGAATAAAATCAAGTGAGAACAAAGTAAATTAAGTGCTAAGAAATATCTCAGCAATGTGAGCTATAGTAAAGTCACAATAACTGTTATATCTTCTGAAGTCAATGGCTTCTAAAGATATCAGGCTTGCCAAGAAGTCCCTTTCAACGAAAGCTTATATCATATCATCAATCTCTATAACCTGGGTAAGCTCTGTATTTTAACAAAACTTAAGTCTATTACCAATGTAGTTCTACTGACATAGTCCATATAGCCTCAACAAGTACTTACTGGCAAATGGTAAGCAGGGGCGCTCTGCTTTCCTTACCAACAAGGTGCGAGAGACAGTAGGGCAACATTACTGTGACTTCCTCCATAAAAATCACTAAATGATTCATAATTTAAGACAATAAATATATTGTTTCTTTCAATAGAACCTACTTTCTGCTAATGTATTCTTTTTGTTATTGTTGTTGTTGTGTGTTTAGCTTGGTTTGATTTTAGAGATAGGGTCTCACTAAGTAGCCCTGGCTGGCCTAGATCTCATAGACAGCTCCCTGTCTCTGCCCCTTCTACATGCAAGGATTAAGAGGATAAGCTACCACTCCTGTCCCCAGTAAAGCATTCTTAAGAAAAACATGAAACCTCTGTGCTAAGTACACAGGTTAGTTCAATGTTATGATCTGTACAAAGCATAAGTGAGAACAGATTGTGGGCTGATGTAACTAAACGAGATCAGCCCAAGCAAGGGCGACTCCTCATTCCTTCACAAGGTTCTCAAACTATTCGCAGCTCAGAAACACTGCCATGGTGAAGTGTGAAAAGATTCTGGAAAGTTGGAGGATAGAAAAGACCGTAAGATAGTTCTGTTTAACAGTTTACAATACTGAATTAATAAAAGTCATTTAATTATAAATGTGACAACTGAATTATAAATCCACTCTTAGGAAAGCTTACGCAGTCTTACAGACATCTGGAGTAAGGTGGAGAATAAGCATCAACGTCTGGCAATCCTGCTAAAAGGGACTAAACTGCAAACACTGAGATATGCAACCTGAGTAACACATGCTACATTTTAGACATCTATTATTGTGTTAAGAAGCCAAGCAAGACGCCTTCCATGGAGTGGAGAAGCCAGCTAAGGCAATACACAGTACTTGTAATAGCAAGGGGTTACTGTGGACAGCTTACATATGCACAACTTTAAAATGTTTGTTTTTAGGGGAAAACAGTATCTCAGTACCTTGTCTTCCCTCGTCATTGGTGAACAAGCCTGCGTCAGTGCTGCTGAGACTGCTGGAGTCACTGTAACCAGGAAAAGATGAAAAAGGAAACAGATCAAAAGAACAATTGATCTATCAGTCGTAAAATTTTAGAGACATGGCAGCTCAGAGTTGGAACTTGAGCCTGACAAAGATCTGAAAGAAAACAAGATTTTTTTTTACTCAAACTGCAAATATTCCATTTCCATTAAGTATAGTACATATTATTTTTGGCATATAAAACCCAAGGAATCTAATGGGACCTGGACAGTAAGCCAGACGTAATGGCAAGGAGGCGCTGACATGAGAAACACATTCTGTTATCTGCTTTCACCAGCTGCTCACTGTTCCTTTCCTATGCTGTGCTATGTGATCAGCCTGAGCCTGGAACACCAGTGCTCATTAAGACAATGGAGTCTCCATCAGAAGCAGGCTGAGACAGTCTTCGGCACAGAAACACCAGGGCCTGGGATGAAATGATTTCCATAACCACATTAGCAAATAGTCTAGAAAAGTCGCTCTCAGCAAGTCAAGGCAACTCCATGCCTCACAAGAAGGGAGTGCTGGTGGCTGCCTATTAGATCAAAGGGAAACAACAGAGGAAGTTTTAGGCCATTATTAAAAAGGTTTCCCGGCCTACATAAACTGGTGAATAAGACACAGGCTCAAATTTAATATGGAAATACAGTAAATAACAGATACTTAGCAAAAAAAAGAAAGAAAGAAAATAAACAACTGCTATTAGTCTAATAAAAGCAATATTTATACGATAGTCCAATTAATAGAAAACAGGAAGAAAAGAAGAACAAGTCATTAAAAATCTTGATCCCTAAGAAAATTGAGTGTTGTTTTTAAAAGCATTTATGTACTTTCTTAGTTTTTGATTTTAATCAATTAGGAAATTGTCATTAATGATTTTTTTTAAATTAAAATAGTCTTTTAAGAAAGTATCTGTGTGTGCCTGCATATGTGTGTGTGTGTGTGTGTGTGTGTGTGTGTGTGTGTGTGCGCGCGCGCGTGAGGTCTCTCTTTCTGCCATGTAAGTTTTGAAAATCAAACACAGGGCAACAGGCTTGGTGAAAATGTCTTTACCTCAAGCCCTAAATAAAAAATATTCTATTTGTTAATATATGAAACAAGATAGCCTAGCTTATTAAAAATCAGGTACATTAGCCTGTTTTAAAAAATTATATATGACAAAATCATTGCTAAGACCTAAATCCACATATTTTTGCATATAAAACATTGGTTTTTATTTGCTTTTCAAAGATAAATTCATGAAAGGCATAAGAATTTCTTTTCTCGGAGCTTCAGTTAGGAAATTTCCCCCCAACTTCCTTTATACTGACTACATGAAGTTTCCTTCTCAATCAACAAGCAATAGCATTTCTAAGGTACCAAATCCACACCATCTTATCTATAAGCACAGGGGCCTTACATAAAAATGAAAAACACCTCAGAAGGTTGGCCATCTTGCTTTGTAGTAGTTATCCAAACTATTACTGCTTCTTGTTCTCCTTACAACCCAAAGCCCTTAAACATACCCCAGGCACAATTCCTTTTCTGAAACCCCCAAGATAAACATAGATACAATTCAGAATCCCTCACATTCCACAAAGGCATACTCTATAATGCCCCCGGAAGTCTAGTGTAGCACTCCATAATCAGATTAGCCATCTCTCAATAATTAGTCCAATGAATAAGCTTACGAAATACAAGTCAGGTTAAGTCTGACCACAGTGAGCAAGTATTTTACAGCTGCAAACAGTGAGTCAGTTCGCTGTTTTCCAGCTGCCACAGTCTTCTGGGTTCAGATTTACCATCTTCTAATCTATTCTACATACAGCCAGGTTCACCTTTTCACTTTTGACTACACTTTTGACTACAGGTTCAAGCATGATATCCTGGAACATAAGGAAGCCACTTTAAATACAGTCAAAAGTGATTCCAATAAAATAGTGATGTAAAACATAAAACACATCCATAGTCACTAACTGTGGTGGAGGTATCAGAGTGGTGTAAAAAGAAACAGTAAAAGAAATAGGCTTGGAGTATGAGAATGTGAAAGGCATGAACCCCGTGAACTGTCATAGTAATATTTCTATAAACATACATGTAGTCTTTTATAAAGGTCATAAACACATTTATACATTCATGGACCACCTAAGATGACAGTATATAAAAAAAATTTTGAAAAAAATGTTAGTTTATACTTAGAGAATTAAATTTAGATTTCAAGGTTTTCTATGGGTGGGTTTCCTTGTCAATTCTTTCCATTCTTATGTCTGCTACTCTGGCTTCTTCTTCCTCTAAGAAGCATGCCTACCTCTGTTCACAACCTGATGAATCTCAAGATATGTGGAAATCTAGATTCTGCAAAACCACTCTTTAACGATCCTTGCTCTACACTGAAGTAATTTTTTATGGACACATAAAATAAATCTATTGTCTTATTGATAACTGTCCAGTTGCTGCATGTACTTCCCTGTTGCTATGTTCATTAATAACAAGAATTTAACAAGAAAGGCTTTTCATTTCCAGCAGCTAGTGGTCATAATGATTCATCTACGAGGATACAGTATCTCTCTTCTTTGGAAATAATTTTTGTAACTATTACTTAGATGAGAACATATTCCATGAGTAAATGTGTATATATTACTACTAATCATCCTTTTCATTTGGCTCATTATGACTAGGAACCAGGCTCAATTGAGAGCAATACCCTTCCCAATACAGTTTCAATACAGCTTCCCACTGCAGCTTCCCATTGCAGCGTCCCATTGATTTTTTTTTACTCTTAAAATAGGTCCCAAGTACTCCTCTTCCTCTACCAGCACAGACATACTTTACCCTCCACTGTATGGATTGAGGTCAGCCAAAAGTAAACAGAACACTACTGCCAAGAGTCTGTTGTTCTAAGTTTCTTTACTGCCAAAACTTCCCACTGCCTACATGATGAAATCTAAACCACACAGGCCCTCAAGAAATGCTGCTGCTATGGTCCAGATCCCCTCGATTTCCTCGTGGCAATGAGCTGCACGTTCCCCTACACTGATCTGACAGTCTACATCTTCACACAGGCTGTTTCTTCCAGCCAAGCTACTTCCTGGCTGAAATCTCCATTCCTCCTTTTCTGAACAAGTCTACCTCTTGCTTTGAAACACAGTTTCTTTGAGAAGCCTTCTTTCACAAGTGCCTTTGATATAGTGTGTCCTGTTCTCAATGTTTGCTTGTCTGCCTACTACAGCCGAGGGCATGGCAGAGAGTCTGTGTCATGAGCCTTTGGCTATCCATGTACACTGCAGCCATCAAATGCTACACACACAGTTTTCTACTTATAAATCAAATCCAAATAACAGAAACCTTCTTAAATTGGAAAACTTTGGAAAGAGAAGATTCCTTCACTCTGTAGCAATCCTTCCTACAGAGGAAATTGCAGAGCCCTTAAGTGGCAGCAGAAAACTGGTATAAAGAAAAACTTAAATTGGAGGAAATATAGTTAACATTATTTGATTTGAAATATCATATTTAAACTATATACCTGAGATGTGAACAACTGGGAAACCTGATATACCTACTTGACCCTGATATTTTGTTGAACAATAGAAGAAACATCTCATTATTGTTCTAGGGTGGAGAGTGTAAGAAGTAGATGAATAAAAAGAAGATATAGAAAACAAAAAGAAGGGGCTTCCAGAAACAACCAGAAAAGCAGGCAATCTGTACAAAGCCCAGAAGTCAAACTGTTACTGCACGGCCACACACCCTCAGCAATAGGTACGGAGCTAAGGGCCTTTGGCTAAGCATTCTTCAGTGACAATGATTCAGTACCAGAATACCACACACCCTATTCCTGAACAAAAACAATGATGTCCTTGAAAGACACCAACTTTTCAAAACCTTCTTCAAAACCTTTTTTACTTATGAGGAAAAACTATGTAGACAGTAAGCTGTCTAATAAACTCTGTCACCTCCAGCTGGGTTCTATTAATTGCAATCACACTTGGCAAACACACCCACATATAGCCAAATATCCAAAACCTATGATCACCAAGACCAAAATGAGGCCAATGCTACAAGTTAAAAGTCATGCTTTCCCTGGGACCATTGCTTTCTGGCTCTCAGAAACTGAGGGCTGTGATGAGTAGGCCGCTCTCACAAGCAGCTGGATAAACGACAGACGTTCACTCTGATCTGACGTGCAAGGAGCACATGGCAATTAGAACAGAGCTGGTCTGCTCCCTGAGATGGACGGACACCTGACTAACACACAAATGCTACAATTCCCATCTTTCTAAGAACCAAACTCTGCCACTTCCACGCCATAAATAGGGTCTTAATAACTCGTAAGTGATCAGAATTCCCTAGCAAGCTATAGATTAATTAACACCAAGCCCCATATACCACAAAGTTTGAATTTTGGACATCAGGAATCAAAATAATGAAAATGCACCCTAAAATTCTTCAAAGGCTAAAGCTGCATAATAACATGAACAGTGAGATATCCCAAAGAGCAGTGGCTCAAAAGCAAATCTTTTCCCGTAGAAAAGTCATTTCTTTTTTCTCTTTATAGCTGAAAATTAAGACAGTTATAACACAACTAACACTTTGCATAAATCAAATAAGCAATTTTTCTTTGTGTGAAAATGCTATAAATTATAAAGAAATACATATCTAATTACAAAGTAATACCACTATCATTGTGGCAATTTATAATTATCTTAAAAGAATTCATTAAAATATAAAACACACTCAGCCTCAGGCATGCAAACAAACATGTTACCTTTCACTCATGAGCTCATCGGAGACTTTCTGTTCTTCATACTCCATTCTGTCCTTACTGGTCTGGCTCATTTCTTCATTCTCCAAAACCACTCCTTCCTCTTGGGCTTTTGGTCCTTGTCTAACCACTTTCAACTTCCTTTTCTTAACTTTATTCCGGGTAAACTCTGGATACTGGTAAGCTCTATCGTTGTCCATTTCCTGATCTCTACAGCCTTCAGGCAGCTGGGTCATTGTCCTTTTATTGGAGATGTCCTGTGGGAGATCCACTGCCATGCGCTTTACCTTCCTCCTCCGGCGGAGAGTTCTGTTCCCAAGGTTGTCCACAGCAAAATCAGACTCATGCCATAGGAGTCTCTTCCCTCGAACACCATTATTTAAGTTTGAAGATGGCCTACGCTTCGCCACTAACATTTGGTCATCGGAGTCACTATGATCCTTCTTGTTATTGCTGTGGTTCTCTCTGTAGTCCTTACTTGCTTCTTCTAAACTAGAATCAGAGCCTTCGCTTAAGCAGTGGCCAGTCTCCCAAGGGTGGTGGACATTATAGGACCTCCGCTTCCTCCCTCTCCTCTTTCTGGCCTGGCGTTTCAGAGGGCAAGACAGATTGCGAGAGTGATCTCCCGTCTCAGCAAAGCCACCTCGAGCTTGCTCAGAGCTCTCTTCCAGTGCAGAGACAAGATCATGAACAAGCTCTTCCATTGTTCGACTGAAATGCCTATACATTTTAGAGAGGGAGAAATAAAGTCACTTGGTGTTACTCTAGTCTTCCAAACAAGCATTTCACTCTAAACGTGGCTGGAATTAATATTCTTTACAAGATGCTGAAGGGCATATGACTGCACTATGAAAAGTCTGACAGCTGCAATCTGATTCCTTAACACTCTTCTTGCATAAGTTCTGTGGATCTTTTTTTTTAATTAAACATAGAAATGGCTGGGTGAGAAAGTATATACCTATCTATAATCCTAGCACTCAGGAAACTGAGACAGAAGAATTAAGTTTAAGATTGAGGTCAGTCTGGAAGACCTGGCAGATTTTGTCTTAAAAGATAAGTTCTTAACATTGAAATAAATCACTTCAAGGCAGGTTAAAAACAGTATCAGCTAGGGGAGGGTTGCTCAGTAGGCTAAGATCTTGCTGCATAAGTATAAGGAGCTATATTTAGATCCCCAGCACCCATAAAGGCTGGACTTGGTGGTGTGCACCTGTAACCCCTGCACTCCGGCAGAGACAGGCAGATCCTGTGGGCTCGCTGGCCTGCCAGTTAGGAAAGAGCAAGCTCCAGGTTGTATGACAGGCATTGCCTCAAAAAGAATAAGGTGGAAACATGATTGAGGAGTACCTTCAGATGTCAGTCTCTGGCATACACATGCAACCACAGGGGTGAACACACACACACACACAGGATCGCAGGATTTTTACATGATTATTATGTAATCATGGGAAACATTCTTCTACATAAGCCACTGTTCCTCACCTGCCCCTTTTCTAAAACCAAGAAGCTTAACTGTCTCTGTCCCTTCCCTGCCCATTAATTCCTAAGGAAAGGAAGCATAAGCCCTTCCACTTTCCATAAATTTTATCTTACCAGTACCATGGTATCAGAGAGAAACCGATAGGTATTTCCAAATGTGTATAAGATTTAAAAGAATGTTTAACCAAACAGTAGGCATATCTTTAGGCCACTAAACACTCACAAACTAGCCATAAAGAGACTGTATTCAATTCCAAACTGGAGCCTCAGAGGTCTGTAAGGGGCCATCATTAACACATTTCGAAGCAGTCTAGTAAGTCTTTGTGGTAAGCAACTGTGGCACTTTAAAGTTTTAATAAATCACGTAGTTCTTTCCAAATTCAGTTTCCGATGATGTTAAATTAGCTGGGGTGACAATTTTTAAATGTTATGGGTTCTTCAGATATGTACCTTTCTCATACAGATTATGGCCTAGCACTTCTCAGATTAAGTTAGACAGGCATCAAAATATTCTCAAGAGTCCTCTAGAGGCCAATAGAGCTTGTAGAATTTATAAGAGGGATAAACACACTCTTTTGGGAGAGAGCTAGATTACAATAGTTGGCTATGTAAGCCATACAGTCTCTCATCACTCAGTTTCTCATTATAATGTAAAAGTGGCCAGAAATGAATGAGTCCCATGAGGTGGTTTGCTTTCATTTTTACTAAAATCAAGTGGTATCCTACCAGTTTCCCAACCCTTGGCCTATATAATCTCCAGTTGCAGATATCTATATGTTTTAAGCTTTAGCAAGTGTCCTGTAACAGTCTGTAACTTTTCATTTTAAATCCTAAAAGCAGACAAGGTGATTTAATGAGCTTTATTGTTAACAACGCTACATACATCACCTAACAGGTAAGCATCTGCTATCTACTCATGTCTTCTAACTCATTACCTCATTTCCTTCTCGCACAACAACCTGAGGTGACCAGCAAGAAAGAAATAACAATACATCTGTCACTGTGACCAATCCAAGTGGTAGAAAGGGGTTTTAAGCCCTAACATCGGATTCCAGGGCACCGGTGCTTCTCAGTTATGGAGGACAGCTGCTCCAATTCCATCAGTCACTCCAGAGTTTAGTTTCAGCACTTTAACTGTTAAGACAGGTTCAGTGAACACGGTTATCTGTGCAGACTGTTCTCAACAGGAAAAGAGTCTAGAGAACCTAAATCCATACAGCACCCAGGGCAGTGTGGCTGAGGAGGAGGGAACAACCCTGCAGGGCTGGGAGAATAAAACGTGTGCTTCAGACCTAGCTCCTTCTACAATGTGAATGTGTAAACAAAAAGTCTATTCAGAACAGTTTCATACGCATGGCCATTTCAAACACATACTTTGAAGAAACTCTAGAAAGCAGCTGAGATTTCTTTCTTCCTTCAAAGGAAGAAAGTATAGAACTCCTTCAGTATAGAACTCTGGTTTCAGACTACAACATCCTGACCTGTGCATCACATCTGAACTGGTTCCCAAGTCTACAGAGCCTATAGCGCTGGCTACTTTAAAAAGTCAGATGGATCTTTCACTACTACCTGTGTACTAATAACTGCCTGTTTTCGCTCCCTGAGAAGAATAACTTGTTCCTTTCCTTTAACACCAGCTCTCTGGAAGAAGTGTAATCTGAAAAGCCTACTATTTCTGAATATAATATTGCATATTTAAACAAAATTCACTTAAAGACAGCTTCATATGCATTAAAATTGGGGTCCTTTCTCTTAAATGTTCTACTATTATTGGTTTAGGAATAACTGCTTTTTGAATACAAGAATGTTCTTATCATTGAGTAAACAGATAGTTCAAAATTTCATGTTAAGACATGAAATTAATGAATAAATAAGTCTCCACATAAAATTGGTTTATTTTAAAGGCAGTTTGGCACATTACCGCAGATGAGAAAAGGAGGTGGCCTTGGTACTGGCCTTTTTGTTTCCTGTGTAGGTCCTGAAAGCCTGAACTGAAATCCTTCCTCACTCAGCTTAAGTGCTAGCATCACGGGCTAGACAAGCATGCCTGGGTTAGTCAGTGGTCTTAATGTCTGAGCAGGTTAATGCAGCCATTTACCCACTGCAATATGACACCAGTGGATTTTTTTTAAGTTCCTCATTTATTTTTATTTCATGTATAGTGTTTTTGTTTGCCTATGTACATGTGTCTATACTATATACAGTGCGCAGGAAGGCCAGGAGGGTTGGAGGACCCCCCGGGACAGAGTTATTAACACAAAGGAGATACAAATGGTTGTGAGCTGCCATGTGGGTGTCTGGGATTTGAACATGGGTCTTCTGGAGAAGTAGCCAGTGCTCTTACATGTTTTTCCAGAAGACCTAGCTCTCTAGCTCCTTATCAGCTAACTTTTATTGAAAAAGATTTCTAAAACTATTAAGGTTTAGCAAAATATAACCAACATGACTAAGAATGAAAGCATATTTTCTTAGAATCTCTTTAAAATTAAGCTAGTGTTACTCAATTGTCTATTGTTTCTCCTGAGAAAATAAAAGTATTTTAACTAGAAGAGTCCAGTGAATTCTATGGCGTCATGCAAAAATAAATTGACAAAAAAAAACCACTTTAGAATATACTATCAAAACTGCAGAAACACAGAAAAAAATCTATTTAATATCATTTCAACTCAGAGTTCAATCACCTTTCACACAGAATCGGCTCTGACTTTTCCACAACTCATTTCCAAGCAAAATCCCTGTGGATGAGTCAACAATATTAGGATATTAATATCACACTGTTTCCCTTACATATTCCAGGTAAAAGGTCATCTACTGGACATCATCTCCTTTAACAGAGCTCCTCATGCTGTGGTGACCCCAACCATAAAATTATTTTCACTGCTACTTCTTGACTGTGATTTAGCTTCTGTTTAGAATCATAAAGTAGGTATCTGATATGTGACCCCTGTAAATGACCCTCCAAGGGGTCACAACCCACAGGTCTATATAAATATAAATGTGTGTACATAGTAAGTCAAAAACTATGCTTATGGTTGTATGCTTTATGACTACTCACAAATAAGAAAATAGTGATGCAATTATATTACTTTCATATCACGTTAGCTACTGCATTTTATTTAAAATTCAAAAAAGAGTTGTTGAGGAAAAGCTATTTGACCTTACATGTATGCAGCAAATAGTCAAAAGGTTCAGATGAAAATGAATAAATAATAGTTTATAGAGATTATAGCAATGAATAAACATAAAAATGGTAAAAGATGCTACGCTAAAGGTAAAGCTTACATTTTATGACTAATCAAACAATATATGATCTCTAAGAAATATCTGAAATGTGAAACTTTCTGCTGCTCACTGGGACTTGAAATTTTTCTGTCTTAATCACACTGTTACTTATCAAAATGAGCCATTATCTCAAGCTAGAATGGTAGGGGTGTGGCTCCTAGAACCTTCATGGCTTTTTGGCATGCACACAGGAACATACATGAAAAGATTCATCTTAAAACAAAAAGAAATACTGTCTTAAGGCTTGGTGTGGCGGACCTTGACCGTAATCTCAGCGCTTAAGGAGGCTATCCTGGGCTACAGAGTTGAAACCCTGTCTTCAAGGTATCTGATTCCTGCTTTAATACACAGATGTGAATAACAAGAGGATTAAAGAAAAGAATCTGTCTTCTCCAATTAGGAATTACAAAGTTCTGGAACAAGGAGGAGAATCCGTGCCCCTAAGGAGGCCAAATCACTGATGGTGTCCATTTGCTGGGTCTGCTGGGAGCTGCAGCTTTGTCACTTTGGCACCAGAGACACTGGAGGAAACTTTCCTTCCTCTTTACCCTAGAAAAATTTTTGAGAACTAAAAATTCTCAAAAACTAAAAATTTTTGAGAAACAAAAATTGTTTGGCCATTAAGTGCGGAAGGAAGGAAGGAAGGAAGGAAGGAAGGAAGGAAGGAAGAAGTAAAGTCTAATTCTACTTTTCAGCTAATGATTTAATAATGTGAGCTCATTTATTTTACTTGGAGACCATTTTCTGATTTTCTTTTACATCACTTAATGACTGACTTCAAGTCATCCAAATTTTTCTCACTACTTCTAATCACTCTCAAAATGTAAATTATTCATCTAAAAGGTGCCTAAATGAAATGCCATCAGAATCTAAGTCAAACAAGACAAAAATTTTGGAATTTAAAAAGTAATTCATTCTGTCAACCATATTTGGTAGGGTAGGAAATGTCTTGAATTATTGCTTATACATGATAATTGCACAGTAAATATTTACTGGATATATATCTTGAATTCCTAGACTAGAACTATGAAAACAGCTAAAGATTAAATAGGAGTAGCTACCATACTGTTTGACATATACCAGATGATAAGAATATGTAGGGTCTACAAATCAAAGGCTGACTCAGTGAATGTAACTTCACTAAAATCTTCAGACAATATGGATTTTAACGTTCCTGCTACATGAGAAAGACAGCATTCTAATAGCTTAAGTAAAGGTAAAAATAAAGGCAAATGATCAAAGAAAATTTAAAGGTTCCCAGCTTGGCACACAACATGTTAAGAAGCTACCCCACGACTATTTGCTCCAAATCAAACTTTCTATTGCTTTGATCTTTAACTGAAGGAGTATGCTCAATCAAACAAACTTAACGGTTTAGGAAATCAAGACACTCCCCTCCCCCCAAAATTAGCTGCTTAAAACCAGCAGTTTCTCTGACATAGTTTCCCAGATAATAATACAAATCAACATACCAAAGACTGGAGTTCCAGAACAAAAGTAAAGGTCCAGAATCCATTTTAATGGCTTTTTACAGTTATTAAACCCACAAAACGCAGTCTATTTAAATAAAAATCCACGACCTCAGAAATTGGAGGTGGGTTTACAGATCTGGGCAAGTACTTTTCTAATTCATAAATGCCCACAGATACTACATTAGTCAGACATAACGAGTACGCCAAGGCGGAGGAGAATTTTCTCTAAGCACACTAGGATCATACTGCAAATCAGTCCCTTAGAGAAGTTATTTAAATTAACTTCACCTCTGCTGTCATCTCAGCTACTATGTGAAGAATGCATCACACTTACATGAAAGCTCATGGGTTTACATACATGAGATGACATACATAGATAGAACCAACATCAATTAACGACTTACTAGTAGCAACCAGCAATAGCACGGGATTGTCACAATTTGGATAAAACAAACATGCAAGGCAGTTCAAGGAATGGAACAAGGATGAGGAATTATCGAAGCCTGGGCAAGGCAGCACGAGCCTATAAACTCGGTACCACAGGGGCTGAGACAGACACACCACCAGGTGAAAGGCAGCCTGGGCTCAGAACAAAACACTGTCACAGGGAGAGGAAGGGAAGGGGAAAGAAAGAAGGAGCACAGAGACAAGCAGGAGGGGGTGGGTAGGAAGGGGAAGCTGAAGGGTTCACACTTGTGCATACACACTAGAAAATAAAGGGTCCACTTTTGGGGAACACATCTCTTCTGCCGATCATCAAAACCACAAACAGGTAGGTGCTAAGGCCACTCTTGTCTCATTGGGAATGAAGAGTTTTCCCTCAGGTTAAGACAGTCAGTCCAACAAGCAAATCCCGTTTCAAGGAACAGACCAGCAATGTGCAGAATCTCTGCGAGACGGGTGACGGGAAGGAGAACATGAGGAAAAAGGGTCACAGGTGTTTGGTTTTGTCAAGTGCCACACAAATTCCTTCATCTCCAGGAAGCCCAGACCGATGGACCCAGCACATCCCACCTCCACGCCTCACTGAGACTCCGAACCGAGAAAGCATACTTGAAAGGAAAGACCAGGACGTTGGGAAGTCCCTTCATCATGGTCAAGTGTACATCATGGCCCAGCATGTACAACTGCCAAAACTAATACAAGCTAACACATTAACAACTATGCCTCTTACCCCAAGCTGACTACAGCAATTAAAAACGGCCCATTTTAAAAAGCATTCTCCATTGTACTCGCTGAAAGTTGGAAGAATTTCAAAGTTAAAAAATGATCTCGAGAATGAAGAGATCTAAATACAGCATTGGGTGTAAAAATGTTCAACTTTTCCATCATAGGGAGGCAAAAGGATCTGTGATCACAGCCCAGACTAAATCCTCGGGCTCTTTCTGATTCTGCAAACAGGTATGGGCTTTAAAATGGCACTTCTTTTGACTTATCGGTCAGATTTTTCCGTTTCAAGATTGTTGGCAGGATATCCACTTTCTCATTTCACTACGTTTATCTGTAGGGGAAAGCCTTGGGAGAAACGGGGTGTGTGTGTCAGGGGTGGGGTCGACCAAGGCTCTCAACTGAAGAAAACCCAAAACCTAGCACTCGCGGGCACTGGGAAACTTAGCCTCTTCACTCTTGTGGGCCTGCGACAGTGTCGTATCCCGGGGATACCAACAAGATAAAGTATAATTTGCAAAAAAGCAGCTTGAAAACTTGCAGCAATAAGTCATGATCACTAAAGACCAACTCCAACCCAAACTTAAAGCAGTTGGACAACACCCATCTCTCGAGATCTGGGACAGAACCTTCTAGGTGGTGGAAAACTTATAGCTTTTTCATAAACCATGCTGCGCAGGGAGTATGGGAGCCTGACGGCTCTTCCACTAAGAAACTTCCAGAACTGTGGATTTGTGTAATTCCATCATTCGTAGAATTTGGTCCAAGATGACCAGTTTAGCAGGGGCGACAAGGACCAGGCCTGATGTGGATTTCTGTAATTCCATCATTCGTAGAATTTGGTCCAAGGTGACCAGTTTAGCAGGGGCGACTGGGACCAGGCCTGACGGAGCTCAGCGCGGTCGTCCCCGGTCCGGGAGCCCCGCGGGGCTGCCCGCCTGCGCGCCCGTCCCGTCCTCAGCGGCCCGCCGCTCTCACCAGCTCTTCCCGGCGGCGGCGGCTCCGATCGCTGGGCGTCCGGCGGCCCCGAACATCAACGACACCCAGGAGCGCGGCCTCGAGGCTCAGGCCCGAGGACCAACTCCAACTCCCGCAGCCCCGGCCACTTCCATACAGCACTTCAGCATTTTGAGAGGAACTTCCGGAAAAGGGCTGGAGGCGGAAACCGGAAGCCGGAAGCAACCATTCGCTCCCCTTCGCTTGGCGGCCGTACCTGTCGAGCAGTCCTGGAGGAGACAGAAGACAGTCGGCTGAAGTCGGTTCTCACGTAAAAAAATCTGAATTCTCTGTGCAGTCACTTGAAACTGACACAGAGTGAAAGGAAAGGGGAGTGAGCATGACGTGCTCTTGGTTCAGCCCAGTTGTCATGGAGACCCATAGTAACAACTTTGGTAAACCCCAGGCCTGGAGGCCATGGCTACTTTAGCCAAGCTTCAGGCTCGGTCGTCCTTTCTAGAAACTCAGTACTACTTTAGGAACAGGTGAGTAGTGGAGAGAGGGGTCGCAAAAGAAATTTAATGTTAGCAAATTATTTAATTCAGGAAATATCCCCACAGTTTTCCCCGATGGGGACTCAAACGTGATAGGAAGTATATATTACACAGGTGGATATTATTATGTGTGTGTATATATATTATATATCATACCATATATTATAATACACATGCAATAAATACCGTATGTATATATTGTATAATACGTTGTGTTATATAATAATACATAGTGTATATATAATACATACATAGAGAGAGAGAGAGGTCACTAATAGGCTTTATATGCTCTAAGGAGAAGCCCAGCACAGATATGATCATAAAGCGAAGCCCCTTACTTGGGAAACTGAGGCAGGTGGATCACTGTGAGTCTGGTCCAGCCTTGCTACATAGAGAATTTAAGGCTTTCCTGTACTTTATATGGGAGTCTTTCTCAAAACACTATTTTTTCGGTATTTAAAAATTATCCCTGAACAATTTGGTTTGGTTAAACTTATTATCCATGTTAAAGGTTTAGCGGCCTAATTGATGTTACCGGGCTACCCAATAAATTCCACGAGTGCAGAATGTCAGTATCCAAAAAGGAATTTTAGCTTCCGTTATCTCACAGACATGGAATTCAACTGTTCTGGGATTCATCTGTCTTAAAGTGAACGTTTCTAAACCACTGTGACAAGATCATTAGTACCTGTGAGTGGGCAAGCGCCAAGACAGCATCCTCCACCCCGCCAAACACAGACCCAAATGTCCTGTCCATGGGAAGGGTCCTTTAAATGGGAAGCAATGAGCCAGCAGTTTTTCTAACTTAGAAGAAACCACGAAAAGCATATTACATTATGATAAGATACAATAATCTAGCAGACCTGTGGAAAAAATATGTCAATGTGGGGAAGTCCTGCTGAGCAACCCTTCCCCTAAAACATCTCGCCTGCGCTTTTGTTATGGTTTTATCGTGTCCCTCTAACGACCGCCAAGGGCAGTGATTCAGGATCATAGCTTTTGTGAGACAGGACGGATCTTCCTCGTGCTAGGAGCAGAACAGTGTTGCTTTTCCTTAAACGTTCTTTCAGTCTCTAGTATCTTTCCTACTTCCTGAAATGTAATAACCACGATAATTATTTGCTGAATAATTACTGAAACTTCCAAATAATCATCTTTAGATAAGCATACAACAGCTGGATTCTTATATTTAACATTCAGAAATTATTTTAACATCCACTTAGAGTTATGTGGCAGTCTTGTATTTGCTTTTGGCATCGATATATAATTGAAACAATCCCATCCTTATAGCAGCCAGTTATGGAGGGATCACACTCTTAAGTCAAAAGTGAGCTGTCAGTTTCTTTCTGCTAGCTAGCATTCACAGTGCCAGGCCACGCTACACAGGCTGTTGGAGGAAACCGGTCATTAGGGATCATGCTCAGCTGCAGATCCTGTGTACTAAAATACTGAACTGCCTGGGAAGACTTGTCCACTGGTGCAGTCGGTGCATATATATTCTGAGGGTGACCAACCACTTTTTGACCGGATTGGAGAATTAGAAGGAATACATACCTGAAACTGAGGAACAGAACAAAAGCTTGTCGAGGGAGGTCACAGGAGAAAGGTGAGCACATAAAACATAAACGTGGGCTAGAGAGATTGCTGAGAAGATATTGCTCCTGCTGCCAAGCCTGTGACCTGAGTGATCCCCAGGACCCACATGATGGAGAGAGAAAACAGACTCCTGCAAGGTGTCCTCTGACCTCTTCAGACATATACATACTATAAACTAGAAATAATAAATAAAATGTAATACGAGTTTTAATTAATGTGTTTAAAATTAAAGGTAAATTCCTTGAAAAATTGTTGTTTCCCAATGGTGACTGGATATGTTAGTTCTTCTTGAACTTTAATGTACTCCAGAATCATCTGGAAATTTTGCTAAATATCTAGGTTCTGATTCAGTGTGTCTCAAAGACATAAAATCTGCATCGGTGACAGGAATTCCTGTGGGGCTCTATTTCACATTTAAAAGAGAGTCCGACCGTAGGAAAAGAGCTGTAGCGCTTTATCTGCACTTCTTCAGTGTTCTTCTGAGTTAGAAATTTCTTCCTGCTCCACAAGGAAAGGGAAATGAGTATCCATTAGCGTGCACACTTGGTGCAAGGTCACCTAATGCTGTCCACTTGCCCTGGATGAATTTCTCTTTCCATCATTGTGGTCTGGCTGGTGAAGGAGGAGGAGGCACCAAGCTCTGCTAGTCTAAACGGCTTGAGAAAACTTCGGTTGAGAATCCATTCACAGGAAGGGACCAGACCTATGTTCATACCTTGCTTCTATGTCCATAACAAGGTAGGGGCAACATTGTCTCTACCGCATTACTGGCACTAGAATAATGCTGAAGTAGAAAGATGATTTTGTTGAGAAAATATATCACTAAGTCACCAGGTTTGTCCTTTTCACATGTTAACTTTTCTTTAAAATTCTATTTGTAATATTAATGTTGATCTTGCTAGGCATTTTGGCTCAGTGTTATAACCCCAACACTTGGGCTAAATAATGTATTCAAAGTCACCCTGAACTAGTGCATGAAATACTATCTTTTTAAAAAAAAAAAAGATTCTTTTTATCTCATAGGAATTATATAATTCCCATATTTCTCATTATTGAGGCACATTTGAAATGTTTTAAATCATAACTAAGAAAATTCATGATGGGTTGATTTAATAGCTTCCCATTAATTATTGTGGGCTGGAGAGATGGCTCAGCAGTTAAGAGCTCTGCCTGCTCTTCAATGGTCCTGATTTGTATTTATTTTAAATTTTTAATTAACTTAATTTTCATTCTCATCAGAACTTAGTACTAATTAGCTACTACTGTAGCTGTGACTAAAATAGTCACTAATTAAAACACTTTGTGAGCATCTAACTGTTTTATATATGGAGACTACAACAGTCCATAAATGTTACAAGGGAAACAGAGCATGGACAGATGTAGTGTCATCCTGGGATAAGTGTGGCAGGCTAGAATAAGGCAAGGTGGACACCTGTTCCTGGACATGCTGGCTTGCTTAGGAGAGACTGGGAGATGTTTGGGATATCTGCGAACTGTCAGAAAGAATTATTGGAGATACTAGATAGACTTGTTAGGTAAGAGCTGTCAACATCTGGACACCAAGTGCCACTGCCCTGTGGCTAGGAATAGTCAAGAAGATAATAAATTCAGCCTGGTTTGTCTCATTGTCAACTTGACACAGTGGAAAAGGGAGAGCCTCAATTGAGGAACTATTTCCATCGGATTTGCCTATAGGCATATCTGTAGGGCTTTTGTTATTTACTAATTGACACAGGAAGGCCCAGCCAACTATGGGCAGTGCCATCCCTAGGTGGACCTAAACTGTCTAAGACAGATTAGCTGAACAAGCCAGTAAGCAGTGGTCCAGCTACTGCCTTCAGGATATTGCCTTGAATTCCTACCTTGGCTTCTCAGAAGATGCACTCCAGGCTGTAAACCGAGTAAACTCTTCTTTCCTTAAGTTGTTTTTAACCAGTTTTATCACAGCCGAAGAAAAGTAAAGCAGGACAGAAACCAGTGTTCTGAAAAGAGTGCCTACAGTTCAGAAGGGCAGGCTGGGCCAGAGCCTCGGGCGCTCTTAATGATGACTGGGGTGTACGGCTCTACCATGACTGAGATGGGAAACCATGGAGATTTTCAATAAGCTCTGGTGCGGTATAATTTCTATCTATAAAAATAATAGATAATAAAATAAGGTCTGATTTATTTTTGAATTGAATAAGTAGTTTTGCTTGTCTTTTCCCTGTTTTATTGCCCACCTCTACTCCCATATTTTATTAGCTTAACATTTTGTGGCTTGACTTTGTAACTTTTAATCCTAGCATTTAGGAGGCAGAGGCAGGCAGATATTTATTAGTTCAAACCCAGTCTGGTTTACATTGTGAGTTCCAGGACAGCCAAAACTACATTTATAAGCTAATTATTGATACCTTATGTGATGTCTTTTATTATTCATGTATTTTAGCTGAGGAAAGTCGGGTTTAGTTAGTCTAAATCATTTAATAAATATCAGAAAGCTTAAAGACTATGTCTCAAAAAAATTAAGTCAAATCTATTTCAGTAGGTTAAATTAATATTTAAATAATTTTGAAGTGCATATAGTAAATACACAAAAATATTAATGATCTACACAAAAGTCGTAACTCACTTAATTTTTCCAAAGGAAAAAAATATATGTATGTGGATGTGAAAAAAAACAGTTTCTAGGAAGAGGGCTTGAAGATGTATATTGACCACCTTAGAAATCAGAAGTACCCAGATCTCTCAGCACCTTTAAGAGAGAATGGTGGATTCATAGATAAGGAAGCAGACTGAGAGACCGAGTTATTAATAATATCTGCTATGTGAAAAGCTGGCTGTTGTTTCCATACCTGATGTAATGTATGGGCTGGAGATAATTCAGTATGCAAACTGCTTGCCATGCAAGCATTGGAACCTTAGTTCAAATCCACCGAAAGCTGGGTATGCTAGGAGAGCTTTTCTAGTGATGTCAGAGACAGAGAATATCATAAGACTAGCATGGCCTCAACAAAGTGGAAGACATGCAACCTGAGACTGTTCTGTGGTTTCCACATGTATGATGTTGCACAAGTGTGTATAAGCACAACACACACATGCATGCACACACATACATCACATCACATCATACACATGACATCACACACAAAGATTTTTTTAATGTAATTATAGTTCCCTTATGTGGTAGCTTTTATTATTCATAGATTATAGCTAAGGAAAATCAAGGTTAGTCTAAATCATTTGCCAAAGAGAAGGATCAAAGATGTAGTAGTTTGAACTTTTTCTGTGCACATTTGTACTTGGTATAAGCAATACTTAAATGATTAAGTTCTTGCATTAAAGTAAGTACCTCAAATATATGAGTCTCCCCTGCCTTTCTTGGGTCAGTTTGAGAAACAGAATTGCTGGTTATAATG